GAATGGTTCTTGTTTGCTTGCTTGCTTACTGTCTATTTGCTAACACACCGCTTGTCTTGTCTCTCTCCCATCACCCAAACCAGTTGTGGCAGATGGCTGCCCCTCACTGAGCCTGGTTCTACTAGAGGTTTGCTTCTTGTTAAATGGGAATTTTTTCTCTCAGTTATTGTAAGTTTTTAACCTTACAATATAAAGTGTCTTGAGGCACCTGTTGTGATTTGGCGCTATATAAAATGAATAGAATGGATGTTTGTAAGGCTTTGGCAGTGCTTCTCTTCTTCCTGCTTGCATAAAAGAGAGCAGATGTCCTGCTGATGGGTTAACGTCCTTCTACCACGAATCTCCTCCATGTTCTTAAGACTGTGCTGGAAGACAAAGCAAATCTTCTGGGACCTATTGATGTGCCATCCTGGAGCCGCTGGACTACCTATTCTGTAGGGTCCAGGTGTTGCCTCATGCAGTAGTGACACTGACCCTTTCAGTCAGAAAAGTAAATCCATTCCTGTTTTGGTTTGGGTTATATTATTGTTGCCCCTCTAGTGCACCTGTTGATTTCATTAACACCAAAGCAGTTAAACTGATTAAGAAAACCCTTTGGTACTTAACTGACCAGCTCAAGATCAAGATGGTACCAGATGGGCTGGTCTGAGTTTTTCAGTATATTTTGTGTGCATGTGGATATGCGGTGCAACTGAAGAGTGGCTGTTACTGCTCACTCTCTTGGGGGCTGGGAGGAGCACCAAGTGCTTCTTGTGTGTATGTGTAGCAGGAGGCTAAATTTAGCTGTGGCTCTCCCCACGCATTATGAGCAAGGCCTGTTTGGCAAGAAAGTCAACTGACTTGGAAGACAGTGGGAGGAGAAGAAGGACGTGTTCCTCGTCTGGCTGGCCTTGCATGTTATAGGGCAAAGGTGTTTACAGTTGGTGTAACGCTGTCTGTTCATCACTTTGGTCGTTCTCTTTCTCCCTTTCCTTTGGCGAATACTGAATTCAATTTCAATTCAATTTTATTTATGTAGCATAAATTCACACGTTTACCTCAAGGCACTTTACATTGTAGATATACAACATGTATAAGATTGTTGGTAGGTTTTTATTCATCTGAAGTCAAGTTATTGTTTGTTCAAGCCAATATACAGATCACAGTTGACAGTTGTTGCTGGAATTTCAGTTAAAATAATTCTGCAAAGGTAGATTTTGAGGGGACTTTGAACACAGTTAATATAGTGGAACAATTTAGCCACAGCAAGGCTCTTCTCTGTGGCTGAATAGGGTAGTCTGTAAAGTGTTGATTAGAGTTTGGAAAGCCCCATGTGGTTTCCCAACTGCAGTCTCTTGCTTTCTCTTTTGTCATTTTTCTCTCTACTCTGTTTCCTCTTAGAAGTTTTCCTCCTCCTTCTGACCTTTTTGTACCTTTTCTTTTATCTTGTCTGAACAGATTCGTTTGCACACCCCCCTCTTTTTTTGTGCATCTTTTCAGATGACTATTGTCAGATGTCAGAGTGTACAGATGGATGTGTGAACAAAACCACATAGATGATTTATCCTAGAACAATGTAGGTGTATTAGATCTGTTGACGTAAAATGATTAGACTTTTAGATTAAGGCTAGGTCTCATAAGAAAGTTAATTCATCGTTGTCTTCATCGTTCTGTGTCCCCTGCAATTCTTCTTTGTTTTTTTTCTTCTTCTGCTCAGATGCAGATTCTGCAACATTTTTTCAGCAGTACATTTTGACTTTTTTCGCGAAATAATATTTTGACTTTTTTTTTCTCAAGTAAAATTTAGACGTTAATCTCAGAATTTCAACTTCATCTCTAAGATGAGCGATATATGTTTTTTTTAATGTGGCCCCTAATATTCCAGGATGCAGGTAATCAGCTTGTGCCACTGGAAATGTACTATTTAAGCCCAATTTTCTCTTATAGTGGTTTTAGCTTGTTTATAATCTGAATTGGGTGTTTTTCATGGGATTCTTGTCAATTAAGCACAGTAATAACAGTGAACTGTTTGCTAATAGTTTTGGAACCGCGAAGGTGGGATCTTATAAGTCCTGCTGGAAAAGAATGTCAGCATTTTGATGTCAGTAGGCGTAAAGTGCTCTAAAATCTTCTACAAGTTAGATGACAGACTGTAGAAACATCGCACTGGACTTCAAACGTTTTGGATTTTTTGCCTTTGTACCACCTCTGCGTGTTTTTTGTAGACCTTCTGTCACATAATCACCTGCTTCTCCTGTAAGTAATACTTGATCAGTGCATCAAATGGTGCCTCAAACTCTCCCTTTTATTTGGGCCTGAAGCAGACAGTACTTTTTCCCTGTTTTTCTTGCATTTTGTATTTCTACTATTTGTCACTCTTTGCGTTTTTCTTGCTTAGTATAATAAAACTAGCTTTTTGCTCGCTTCACTGATTGCTACTATATTTTGTGTCTGTTGCTTCACTACAAGCAACATTTAAGGGTTAGGGTAAGCGTCCAAAGAGGTGTCTCTTCCAATGGAACAGTACTGGTGGGCATCATCAGCTGTGTGCCAGTGATGTCAGAGACATCAGTTATTTCACACTCGGTTTAACAGTTGATATGACCGTTAAAGAGCAGATGTCTGGTGTGGACCACTAGTCAGGGGGATTTCCTCAGGCTGGTCTGTGTCATTTCTTACTACTGCTTTACATATGTGCGTTACTTGACATTTATGGTTGATATGATACACAGGTCTAAATTTAAAATATGTCCTACCTGCCCTTTAGCTACTGCTTATTTTAATTTCATTAAAATAAGTACCCAAGCTATTAGGTGTAGTTACAAAGGAATATGAAAAATCCATATTTCTTTGTAAGGAAGGAATATTCCACTTCTTTGCTTTAATAAAATCCTGGTTTGCTTTGGCTGTATGTTCTGGGTCATTGTCCATCTGTATTATGAAAGGCCGCCCAATTAATTTGTCTGCATTTAGCTGGATTTGAGCAGACAGTATGTGTCTGAACACCAACCTGAATTCATTTGGATGTTTCTGTCCTGTGTTACATCATCAATAAACACAAGTTTATTAATGGGGGATGGGAGGAGCACCAAGTGCTACGCTCAAGCCAGCACCAAGCTCAAGCCATCTGTGTTTTACAGATGATGTGGTATGCTTTGGATCATGAGCTGTTCCACACCTTCAACATGCTTTTTTCTTGCCATCATTCTGGTTGAGGTTGATTTTGGTTTAATCTGCCCAAAGAATGTTTTTCCAGATCTGTGCTGGCTTTTTTAGATGTTGCTTTTTTTGTTTGTTTGTTTGTTTTGTAAGCAAAGTCAGTCTAACCTTTCTATTCTTGAGGTGAACCCTTTGTATTTACTTTTATGCAGTCTTTCCTTTTTGGATATTGATAAGCCTACCCCCTGGAGAGTGTTGTTCACTTGGCTGGCTGATGTGAAGGGGTTTCTCATTACCATAAATGATTCTGTGATCATCCACTGGTATTGTCTTTTTGTGTTGCTGAGTTTACCAGTGCTTTCTTTCTTTCTTTCTTTCTTTCTTTCTTTCTTTCTTTCTTTCTTTCTTTCTTTCTTTCTTAATGATAGGTTTGTAGCTTGAACCTATTCGCTGGAACGTTGAAGACAATATAATTACACAGCAAGCAAGACACGAAGTAGGCAAAGTTCTTCATGTTTCT